GGCAAAATGGGAGGAGGTCAGAGCACGCATTCGTTCCCTCGACAGAAAAAAAGATATTGAACAAAGAATTCAAGAATTTTCCCTAAGCTGGCTGGGGGGGATCACCGGTGGGAAGGTGGAATGGAAAGGGGCACAACGGGATGTCGGGGAGGACCATGGGAGGACGGAAATAGTAAAGGACTACCGGCTGACATTTCATAATTGGACCGACATTGATCCAGCAATACCACTGAAATCTCCAGACAGCTTTCCCGACTTCTTCCCCCCCTCTCCCAATTGCCTAGTTGGAATGCAGTGGTATGGCATGGATGGCATGGATGGCTGATTTTGGGGGCAACAGGGCAGTCTTTAAAATTCCTTTAAAATTCCATATACAGGTCAGCTGCATGAGCTAACAGTTCAGACATAGAAGGGAGCTAGGAAGTAGTGTGAATATCTGGCGCCCAACAAGGGTGAAGAGGCTCCAACCTGGGGCACGTGTAGTCTCAGCTTGTCTCAGTTGTTCAGAAACCATGCTCAGTCAATCCCCTGAACCTCAGGGCAATCAATGCTGGCAGGAAATTCTTCTGATCAGATCTTGTACATGGGACGCTGGACCCGTTTTGCAGCAGGTGATGCTCCCCACCAATAGATGGAGCCTCCCCGCGCGTGGTAGTGGTGGCTGCTCTTACCACCACCACTATCACTAGGGGTGTGTTTGCCTCAAAAAAAAAAAAAAAAAGCCCTCGTAAACGTGTCGTATAATCTGCTGGCTAAGACTCTTTCGCGCAGGCTAAGCACAGTGCTCCCTTCACTAATTAAGGAGGACCAAGCTGCCTTCGTGCGTGGCAGGTCAATCTTCACAAACATTGTCACGGCAGGCCAAGCCTTGGAAGTTATAACTAATTCAGACTTAGATGTGATGGTGCTGCTTCTCGACTTGGAGAAGGCATACAACGGAGTGAATTGGTTGTATGTCTTATCCACGCTTAAATGGTTAAACTTTGGAGAATAATTCTGCAGCTGTATCACAGCTCTGTATGTGTTCTCAACGGCGGCTGTAATGGTGAACGGGCAAATACCGAATCAATTTCCTCTAACCCGCTCTCTCAGGCAGGGACGCCCACTCGCCCCCCTGCTCTTTGTTACCCAGCTGGAAGGACTATTGAATAACATCAGTGCACACCCCCAAATCCAGGTCTCCCACTTGGAAACCTGAACTGCCATGTGAAAGCACTGGCCGATGATCTGCTGGCTATCTCCAAGAACACCCCGGAGTCACTAGGAGCATTAAAAGCCTGTCTAGATGAGTATTCTCTTCTATTGGAAGCATCAGTAAATTGGCATAAGTCATGGGGGATGAAACAAGTAGGTATGGACGAATTGGAGAGGTTCCTAGGCGTCCTGGGAGGAATACCAGACTCTCTTCAGCTGACAGTCTGATGGGGCTATGCACTGTAATATGCAGCACAAACCCCTAGGGCATCAGGAATGGAAGTAATCTGGGCAGAAAGGAACAGCAGAGTCTTTTTTTTTTTTTTTTTTTTGGTTTAAACTGCCTGAACAGATGCTTGTGGTGCTGATAAGAGCAGTCACCTCGAGCACAGCCCGGGGGGCTCCATCTATTGGTGGGGAGCAGCACCTGCTGGAAAGCGGGTCCAGCGTCCCTGAACATTGTTGTTGTTTGAGTAGACATACATTTGTAATAACTGCAGGCGGTATCTTACCCGTATCTCCCGGTTGTTGTTAGGAGAATTAGTGTCCTATTCCAAGACTGTTGTCTTTAGCCATTCATCTAATAGACAGTCTGTTGTTGTTGCAATTGTTTAAACTGAGACACACTTCTAATAACATTGAGCTGCTGTTATCTTCTCTAAGTATTTAGCTGTTGGAAGTACACATCGTCCTAAGTTGCTTGCCTGCTGACAGCCAGCCCAAATCGTAGGTTGCCACAGAGGGAAGAGGAGGCAGTTGAACTGTTTGAACAACAGCAGAGTCTTCAATCACAAGGAGCTCACCAACAAGGAACTTCGCATCTCTTCCGTACTCACCTGTTTTTTTTTGCAATATAAGTGATCCTTGCTTTTGTTAAAAAAAAATAATAGTAAAAAATTCTGCTAGAACATGGGAAGATACACAGACAATTTTTTGTCCTTCGTGCATTTGGTGGTTGGTCGAGCGAGGCCCGGGGGGGACCTCTTTCCTGAGGAGCTTGCTGTGCTGGGAGGGGGGGGTGGTATGGCTTCGCCTCGCTACTGCGCTTCCCAAGACGGGAAGTCCTCGCGTCACCCCCTGCCCCACTCGTCAGTGGGGTTTGGGGGGGGTAGGGGGAGGTGCAGTGACTGGCCATTGCTCGGCGCTAGCACCGCCGATTTCCCCCATCGGCAATGCCTGCCCACCCCTCGTCACCGTGATGAGGGACTGGTACAGCCTTGCTCTCGCACAAACCTACCCCGTGGGCTGGGGAGAGATCCGGGTTGGTTGGTGTTCCCCCATACTATAAATAGACTAGTGAGAGGATGAGATAGATGCGTACTACCAAGAAAGATGRAATAGATTGAGAGAAGAATATAGATTACTAAAAAAAAAAAAAAAAAAAAAAAGTCTGTGCACAGTGGCGAGTGAGTACACGTCATTCTTTTGTCCTTGTAAAAAAAAAGACTCATCATGGCCTCGTGCTCGCTTACGAACTTTTTGGTTCTTTAGGGCCTCGCTGCACTAATCTCCAAATGTGCAAGACAAGACTGAATCCACCGTCAGAACAAGGAAAGATACATTAACATATTTTTTGTCGTTTGTGCATGTGGACAGTAGTGCAGCGAGGCCCTTACACGCTCACGACCTTGGTGGTCGTGAGAGGTCGTTCTCAACAATTGGCCCTAAAGCGCTGGTCGTCGGGGTTCGTTCTCACCGATTGGCCTAACCTTCTTCCCTCCAGTTCAACGTGCGGTAATTATAGCTGTATTTGAGTTATCTTTCAGTCTAGATACAGCTATAATTACCTTACGTTGTATTCAGGGGAAGAAGGTCTCTCAGTCTGTATATCCTTGAACCGTTGAAATACAGACCTGAGTTCGAACTCGGGTGGAAGCAGATGAGCAAAATACTACAATATTGGCCTAACCTTCTTCCCCCCAATACAACGTGCGGTCATTATAGCTGTATTTGAGTTACCTTTCAGTCTACATACAGCTATAATTAGCTTGCGTCGTATTCGGGGGAAGAAGGTCTCTCAGTCTGTATTCCCCTGAACCGTTGAAATGCAGACCTGAGTTCGAACCCGGGTGGAAGCAGATGAGCAAAAGACTACAACCGTTGAAGTACAGACCTGAGTTCGAACTCGGGTGGAAGCAGATGAGTAAAATACTTGCAATACAATTCTGGATCACCTTGTGGGCGGGTCAGTTGGACGATGATGGGCCTCGCTCCACTTCTCTCCACACGCAGACACGACAAAAAAAATAGCAATGTATCTTGCCATGTTCTAGGGGAAGATTCAATCTCATGTTCCACATTTCGAGAATAGTGGAGCGAGGCCTGATATCTGAAGGCCGGCGTCGTTTTCAAAAAAGAGAGGAGGGGTTGTGTGGCGGGGCCCTTGGCGTTTTCACATTTGGCAAGATGCAAGTCGTTAGACTTTTGAAATTTTCATGTTTTTTGGCGCCATAGCTGCTGCCGCTTCCCTCTCATCCGTCAGGGCGCACTCACACTGCCATTGCACTTTGCTAAATGTATATACAGTAACGCTGCAATTACCGCCGAAGCTTGATGCATCTGACCGCAATCAGGTCCAGAGCTCATCTGGAAAGTCCTAACAGCTGTGTGGCGGGGCCCTTGGCGTTTTCACATTTGGCAAGATGACAGTCGTCAGACTTTTGAAATTTTCATGTTTTTTGGCGCCATAGCTGCCGCTTCCCTCTCATCCGTCAGGGCGCACTCACACCGCCATTGCACTTTGCTAAATGTATATAACAATGCAATTACCGCCGTAGCGTGATGCATCTGACCGCAATCAGGTCCAGAGCTCCTCTGGAAAGTCCTAATAGTGTAAGCATGCCCTCACTCTCACTTCAGTCCGCCATTCCACTGTAAGCTCCCGCCAATCCTGTACAAGAGAGTCGTCTCCCACAAGCTAGCTACCGGCAGTGTTGTCGGCCATAGCTAGTGTCTCTCTCTCTGATACCTCACCCCACTGTTCACTTCACCCACACATTGTCAGCTCCAGCAGATCGCGTAAAAGAGCACATGCAAGTCAAGCTAGCTATGGTGTCTGCCATAGCTGGTACCGTGTGTTCCCTCCACCTTTGCGCTGTGTCAGCTCCCCTTGATCCTGTACAAACCAAGTTCCCCTCAGACTAGGTAGTGGTGTACGTCATAGTTACGGCCACGTATCTTCACTGCAGTACTTCGTATCAACCCTGTAGTTTTCACTCCGTACATCTCAGAGTCTCCTTCCTGTCATCTATCCTGTCCAAAAAGAGGAGCCAACCCTCCTCTTTCTTCGGTCCTTATTTTGCTCCCTTGCTCGATACAAGTAACGCGGTGCACATTCTCTGCCGATTGTCAGATCTAATAGACAACGACGCAGAGAGGTTAGGCATCATACCCGCAGACGCGCTCGCGGGAGAGAGAGAGAGAGAGAGAGAGAGAGAGAGAGAGAGAGAGAGAGAGAGAGAGAG